CCAAAAGTGGTGATCAAAGTCGGTGTAGCATCTGCCAGAAATGGACAGATGAAAACCAACTGAAGTATTGTAAACACTGCCATCGAAATGTCTGCCCGACTTGCTTGCAAAAGCACTTTGATTCAGTAAGAATTTTGTGTTGGTGTGCCACTAACTGATTGTTAATGATTTTATCTGGAGAGCAAAGTAATGGTACTCTGTATTTAGTAGAATCATCTAAATTTGGGCAATAATTTACTAATACAGTTAAGAATATAAGCTGTGAAGCTAGTTATTTTTCGAGAAAAGAGGCCCTGATAACTTGGAAGAGAGTAAGATCCGAAAATGAAAGACAACCAAAAGTTCGGTTTTCCAGGCACGAAATTAAGAGATTTTCTTGCTCATATGGGGAGGATTTTGGTGTGAATCTTTGTTATCACGGCGTAGACCAGCTCGTCCTGATTGATTCCTGGTTGATTGAGTACATGCAAATGAAGTCAAAATTTGTGAGATTAGTGGCAGTCTATAAATTTCCAGTGAGGGGACTTATATCTAACGAAGATGCGCGCTCCTAATGTGCGCTTGGAAACACTTTTCCATATGGTGTGGAGTGGGTGAGTTGTGAATTTAAGGATTTATTAGTTTACAAAATTTGGTGTCGGTACTTACTCGTGAATGCGTTTATTACACAAACTTTAACTTATATTTATTCCTATTCTTGCTCTCCCCTTTGTAGTACAGTTTGCAAGTACGAGTACAGTTGACTTCGATGCATCGCAAAGAACGTGAGCTAAATGTGGTATTGCAAAATTTAAAGACGAAATTGTCGGCTGCTTCTTCTATGTCAGCTTCTTCTGCAAAGACAACTATCATCTCCCAGTTAGACGAGGCTATAGTTCAACTCAAGTGTGCTGTTAGTCAGTCCTTAGAAAATGCATTGAGGAAGGTGGAGGTACTCGAGATGGACGGTGCAGCAGTACTGAAAGTTAAGGTGGACGACTTGTTAGCTAGTTCTAGTGATCTGAATGAGGTGGAGCAAATCTACAAACAATTGGAAGACGGTACAATTGTAAGGCATGCTTATCGTAAAGTTGATTGCCCCAATATATATTCTTCTTTTCTAAGACAGCACTGTTTTAACAGAGGAAACTTGAGGATGCGGAGAAAGTATATGTGCGCTTGAGAGATAGTACAGAGAAGGCTAAGAGTGTGTTGGAGTCTTTCGATCCTCTTCCTACTTTGCCAATTGTGGAATTCGGACTTTCGAAGAGGGTGCAAGAGGTAAATTCAAGTTTTTACCACTTTGATCACTTCTTCATTGTTCTCCCCAAACCAAATTTGTGATTTCAATTTCTTGGTGTGGATTTATCGATTTTATTGATGATTGCAGTTGGTGGTTCAATATAACCCTTTCTAAGGTAGAGAATTCTCTTTGTCTTCAACGTGCCC